TTTATGCAGAACTATAAAAATAGATTAAGGATATCTATTGATGTATACAAAATACAAATATTTATAATAAAACATATTCAAGAAATACACAAATTCTTTGTCAACAGAGTTTTTCTTTTATTTATTATAAATAATATTACACTAAATTATAAATTAGATAAGCAAATAAATAGATATTCATATTTTAATTAAATAATTCGTATGCAGTTTCTTTCTTGTCATTTTCAGATTATGTAAGACTCTCGTGATCGGATTAGATTTCAAGTCAATCTTTAAGCTTAGAAAAATCTGTACTTTTTCTTTGCTTCTCCTTCGGACGGTGGAGGCGGCGGCGGCTGTTGCTGTTGTGGTTGTTGTCGGGGCAACAATGGAGGCGGCGTGTCCAGTGGTACCGTTGCTGGCGACTGAGGGCGTGGCGGACGCAATATCGATGTGAGCGGTGGGGTAGAATTGGTATTGGGATTAGCTGCTCCATTGGCCGACGTCTCGTGGAAATCTTCCTCGATGGGACCCAGGCGTGAGCCATGCACCGATGCAAACTCCGACGGCGTCTTCACCTGTGATCCCTCCCCAAGCTCACTCGCCATGTTCATGCCAATGGTGGCGCCCACCTTGGCGCTGGCCCGTTTGAAGTGATCGCTGAGCTTGATTTGGACCACATTGATGAACATGGAGGTCAGCGCTAGGCCGAAGATCAGATAAATCATGCTGACCATCACATAGAACGGATTCGCTGGCACCAAGTCGCCGAAGCCAATTGTGGACATCGAGATGAAAACGAAGTAGAACGAACCGAAGAAGCTCCAATCGCTCTCGATGAACGTGTAGCCGGCGCTGCCCAGCAGGATGTAAACAATCAGTAGCATCGTGGCCACCGATATTGGCAAATTGAATTCGTCGTCCACTTCGAAGGTTTCCAGATATGGGGACGTGGGCGTTTCCGGGTGCGAGGTGCCCAGCGATTTGCCCGCCTCCGCATCGCCCTCGCCCTGCGACTCCAGTTCCGCTCTCGTTGCCTCCGTCATGCCGAAGAACATGCTCGGACGCCGTATGGCCAGATCGTAGACCGTATTGAATCCCGTCATCGCATCCCGCACCTGCTGCTGCCGACGTATTCGACGACACGACCGGGTGTAATAGACCCGCCTCACATACGCCCACAGGAACTTCACGCTGCGCGTAAACAGTTTGCCCAAATCAGCCAGGACGATCAGGAACATCGGGATACCGATGATCGCATAGATGATCGTCAGACCGCGTCCCACTCGTGTCTTGGGTGTTATGTGACCGTAACCTGAAAAGAGGATATCGTTAGATAAGTGTCGTGGGAATTGAGTATTTTAAATGGTAAATTAATAATATAAGAATGGCAAGAAAATAGATATATTAAATAAAAATATGAATTTTTACTTAAATATAATTTGTTTATACATGTATGCAATATTTAAATATATAAAATGTGAAATATAATATATATATATATATATATATATATATATATATATATATATATATATA